AATCAGTCAAAGATGAGAGCAGATCCATCTATATAACAGATTCTCCATCCATCACATTTATCAATCATTACCAGAGGTTTCCTGCTCACCCTTCTTTTTGTCTATAATAGCCTGTTAAATGTCCTATCCAGTCCACAGGACTCATCTGGAGGCTTATAGTGATTCACTCCCAGCTTCCTCTTCAACTGACTTCTAGCGGCAGATCGGTAGAAATGGACGGAAAAGAGAGCAGTTCTATCTTCTATTTTGGTTGAGAATAAAAACATAGAAGCAAGAGCATCCATGGCAGAAAGGAAGATAAAATATTTGTGGTGTGAGAGTGAGGCTTTAGGTCAAAAGAAAGTGTGATGTCTACTTGATTGTGTGCATTGCTATAACTGTTTTATTACTGTTTTGCCTTGTTGTTTTCAATAGTCACAGGTTGGTGGGTTTAATTTACTGAAATCCCCTGAAATTCATCACAACCTTTTTCTGTCTGGCACCTGCTTTTTCTGTTTATTTTTCTGATGCTGAGACCAGTGCATCATCTGGCCAAACTTCTTTCATACTTCAAGACTTTGTTGACCCCCACAGCCTCTGTACCCCTAACAGCACGGCACTGTGTCTAACATGGGTGTACACATTGAAATAAAAGGATTTGGGTTTCTGGCGTCATCCGTACCGCAGCTACACAGCATTCAGTGTGAGCCTAGTGTTATTAAAGTTCAGACAGAAAGAGAGGAAATTTGGAAACACTGAATTTTTATTACACAGAATTTTAAACACTAATTTTTTTTTAGCACCAAATTTTAAAGACTGAATTTTCACCACAAAAAAAATCAGTGTAAGGAATTCAGTGTGTAAAAAAAAAAATCAGTGTTTAAAATACAGTGCTGAAAAATTTAGTGTTTAAGATTTGGGGATACAAAGTGTAGATTCCAATGAGACTGTTTTTCTTCCATATAAATGTGTTTAAAAACATGGTTTTTCATGGTCTTTCAGCTAATTTAAAGTTAGGGTAGCCCAAGGATGCCCAGATGTCACTCAAAGGGCTGGTACAGTAATACAAAATAAGCATATCGGACTGATTTTGTCAGGAATCCAGTTTGTGTGGTCTGTTTTTGTGTTTCCTTTCCTCCTCCACCAGGTGGTGCCCCGTCCTCATTGGGTCTCCCTGCACACCTGCAGCTCATTGCCTCATTGCCTGTGGAGTGCTCTTAAGCTGCTGACTGCCACTACCTTGACGCCAGAGTGTTTGCCAATACTGGGTACCTGAGTTTTTGTTTGTCAGTTTTGGGTACTCTAGCAAAGCTAAGTTGTGTTGAGTCAAACTGAGTTTTTGTCAACCTGAGTCTTAACTTTGTTTTTTGTCTTCACCTCTCGGTAGGAAGTCATCCTGCAAACTGGATTTGTTTGGACCTTCTCTCTCTGGAAGGACCAACTGAGCTTCTAACTGCGGTGGGGATCCAAACAGGAAGTTTGGACCCACTTTCCCCAAGAGGTAGTTTGAGCTTCACACCGAGCAAAGGTTTCATCTGCACCGCAGCCCGTTCAAGTACCGCAGGAAATCTGAGTGGTAGTCAGCTTCTCCATTCACCAAGGAACAACCGCAGTCTGAGTAACCCTGTCCACCCAACACCAAACAAGACAATCTCTGGAGCATTCCACACAGACTGGATTCAATAAAGGACATCTTTTTCTGGAGAATTCCGGTTTGACAGTGTTCAGAGCAGCACTGGACTCATCTCTATATTCTTAATAAACCTGTTAAACTTTTCCCTGGTCTCTCTGTTTGGTCATCTGCATTTTTGGGTCAGACCTTCAATTAAATCATGACAGATTTTAAGTGTAACAATGACTTTTTTTAGCATAATGTCCAATTACGCTATATGAATGGATTTAAAACTAATTACTAGCTGTTTTCTTTTTTCACATTTCATTCAGATTTGACCACATATAAATGCCATGCGTCATCAACAAAGTTTATATGTATACCTTCTCAATAAAATAACCTTGAAAGGTGACATCGCTGCTTGTTCTGTGAGGAATTGCCAGAGGGGCAATGTTGGCCAGTCTTTGTGTCTCATAGATGACAGCCTCTGTAAAAGGCAGCTTTTGTTTGTCCTCAACCTGCACCTGCCGGCTTCCAATCACGTTCCTCAGCTCCTCCTGGACTTGGTCTGGAGGCATAAAAGCAATAAGCATAGCATATTTTTTCTTATTTTTGTAATCAGCAGCTACCTACTGCATATTTTTTTACAAATTTTTTTTACAAAATGTCAAAGGGTATATTTCTCCTAACCTTGTATTTTTGGATATTTGGCCATAAACAGGAGGGCCCATCTCAGTGTTGTAGCTGTTGTTTCAGTTCCAGCTGCAAACAGATTCATGACTGTCACAAGGAGGTTGTCATTATGGTAATGGCTGTCAGTGATCCCAGATTCCTGCAGAAAAGCAACCGTTAGACTGTATTTATTTATTTATTTATTTATTTATTTATTTATTTTAGCAAGGCCATATTGATAGTGTGTGCTTAAAGCACGTTTATAGGTTTTAAGTCCAAATCTTTCTTTTTTCTTAATTGAGTACACAAAATAAAGTTAATAAAGCAAACCAAAGAATAATTTTTACTTTTCCAAAGAGCATACTTTATTAATTCTGTATTATTTTATTAATAGCATACTATTAAGTCGATGAAAAGGTACAGTTCAAAAACGAGAATGATAAACCATTCATGAATAACTGATTATCATGATAAAGTCATTCCTGATGTCCGAGCTTAATTTGGGGTAGACCAACAATGTTTTCTAATTAATAAACATTCTAAAATTAAAATCAGAAATTGAAACGAATAAAGAGTTCTAAAAGTTTGAATTGAAATATATCTCAAGATATAATACAGTATATACAGTGAAGAAAATAAGTATTTGAACATCCTGCTATTTTACAAGTTATTACTTAGAAATCATGAAGGGGTCTAAAATTGTCATCGTTGGTGCATGTCCACTGTGAGAGACATTATGTAAAACAAAAAATTCAGAAGTCTTAATGTATGATTTTTTTTAAACTATGTGTTTGTATGATACTGCTGTAAATATGTATTTGAACACCTGAGAAAATCAATGTTAATATTTGATACAGTCGCCTTTGTTTGCAATTAGAGCGGTCAAATGTTTCCTGTAGTTTTTCTCCAGGGTTACACACACTGCAGGAGGGATTTTGGCCCACTCCTCCACACAGTTGTTCTCTAGATCAGTCAGGTTTCGGGGCTGTTGCTGAGAAACAGAGTTTGAGCTCCCTCCAAAGATACTCTATTGGGTTTAGGTCTGGAGATTGGCTAGGCCACGCCAGAACCTGGATATCCTTCTTACAGAGCCCTTGCTTGGTTATCCTGGCTGCGTGCATCGGGTCATTGTCATGCTGTAAGACCCAGCCTCCACCCATCTTAGGTAGGAGGTTGTTGCCCAAAATACCACAATAAATGGCCCCAGTCATCCTCTCCTGCAGTCTACCATCCCATGTGCAGAAAAAACACCCCCAAAGCAATTTCTACTAATTATATAGGGTGGGTGGACATGTGTCTTTATGCAGCTAACCAACTCAAACAGGTGCATCTTCTTTAGGTTAATAAATGGAGTGGAGGAGGACATTTTGAAGGCAGACTAACAGGTCTTTGAGGGTCAGAATTCTAGCTGATAGACAATTGTTCAAATACTTATTCGCAGCTTTACCATACAAATCAATAGTTTAAAAAATCATATATTTTGATTTCTGGATTTTTCTTTAGATTGTATCTCTCACATTGGACACTCACCTACAATGACAATTTCAGACGCATCCATGATTTCTAAGTGGGAGAACAGCAGGGTGTTCACATATTTTTTCTCACTGTAGTTCGTAGTTAGAATGCACAGCTTGTTGGGTGCCATCATTTAATCGAAAGATCTTTGTATGCAACCAGATATTTATGCATCCCCAGTGTTTGCAAAAAAACTGTGGGTTTATGACCATTTTGATTTTAAAGCCCCAGAGCAAAGGTGTTTTATTGCCAAATTGCACCACCCACAGAATGTGATGGAAAGTTCCTGTTGGTCTTTTCTTACTGCCCCTTTACACTTTATAATGGAAAATTAACAGTGCAATATGTCTACAGTTGCAAAGGCAAATGTTCATAGCATTATTTTGCATGCTTTAAGGATATTTTTTATATGTGTCAGGATTCCTGTCTGTGTGTTTCTGTGTTTGTCTCCCTTCCTCCACCAGGAGGCGCCTGGTTCTGGTCCGCCTCCCCACACACCTGCAGAGGGTTACCTCGTTAACTGAGTGCTCTTAAGCTGCTGACTGCCACTACCTCGACGCCAGAGTATTTGCCAGTTTTGGGTACTCTAGCCAAGCTGAGTTTTGCTGAGTCAAACTGAGTTCTTGTCAACCTGAGTCTTCATCTTGTTTTTTGTCTTTGCCCCTCGGCAGGAAGTCATCCTTCAAACTGGATGTACCATTTTAATATATATTTATTTTAACATGAATGTTAATGTTTTATTAGCTATATCATTCCCAAAAAAAAAAAAACATTAAAAACAATCTAGAGGACTTTGTTTCCGAGTATGAAGACGTTTCACTTCCCATCCAGGAAGCTTTTTCAATTCAAAATGTCAGGAACAGCGTTGAGTTCGAGGTTTTAAACAGTAGCCCAACAAAACCTTGTTTTTGTTTTGAAAACATGCAAATTGGAGCACGGGTCCACCCCTTTGGAACGGGGGTCGTTTGGCTTCTTTTGTTACACTGCAAAGCCCCATACCCATCTAAGTGTCTGAAAGGTCGGTCGCTTCCTGAAGTCCTGGATGGGAAGCAAAACATCTTCAAACTTGGAAACAAAGTCCAGTGGATTGTTTTTAATTTTCTTTTTTTTGGACTGACTACTACCTGGATGACTGAGAACTTTTGCCAGGTTATATATATATTATCATGTAGAAAATTCTGGTTTTCCTTCTTTACAGCTGCTCTTATCCTGTAGCCTGACGTAGTCCGACTCAATTCTAGTCAGAATATGAGTCTGATGCTGCTCCATAGAGCTGTGATTATGGGGCGTGTTTTGAACGAACCAGGAAAAAAAATGCCTCTGCACTCAATTGGATAGACCTACAACCAATAGGAGCAACGGAGTGTGTGACGTATGTTAAGCGATGCATAGTTGTTGTCAACAAAAATCAAAGCGTGCAGTTGCACGCCTAGAATAAGAAGATGAACCTTGATCGCGTTTCTCTGTTCCCCTTTTAAAATTAATTTGCTGTCGATATCTTCTGTCCCTGTCCATCATCGTACAAAGCCCGCCCTGACTATTTGATTGGATCGCCAGAGAGTGGGCAATCATACTCGCGCTACTATGGAGCAATGCCAGACCGAACTAAGTTCGGAATGGCACCCAGGCTACTTATCCTGGTGCTTTTTTAACAATATATTTTACCATGATAGCGCACATAAAAATTTTATGATTCTCATAGATCAAAATGTAATAATTTTCAAATACACCTTCATTCATCATTAGTTTTATCGCTGTTCAGCCTTTCACAGATCAATTTTTATCTTTATTTGTTTGCATTTTATTAAGGTAACATAAATTTGTATGTCTGTAAACTCTAGCAATTGTTTTATGCCTAATCTCTAGAGCACTTTGACTAAAAACAAGGCAGATGTATTCTGATAAAGTCAGAGTACAATATTGAATATTATATCTGAAAAACAATTAAGTTTCTGACCTGATGTTGCTGTTGACGGATGAGGAAGGCATCTACAACTCCTCTGCACACCTTTGGACTGAGGGTCTGTCTTAAATGGTTTAGGAGCATCAGATGATGTTGCTTATTGGCAAGAAATATATTGCCTAATTTCCTTCTGGCAGAGAATATCAGTTTGCCAAAAATTGGGAAGATGTTAGACAGCTGATAATAAAGAGAAAATAAACAGTTAGATCTTCTTTTCACATTTTAGGTCTTGTGTTCAGAACAACAATTGAAAAGTCAGTTTTGTATACATTCAAAGCAGTAAAGTCACACCTGTATTGCTGGTGAGCCAATCATCTGAATTAATCTGTTTGTTCGATTAACAATTGTTTTGAAGTCTACATCATCGTATTCAAATCTTTTTCCATAAACCATGGAGCAGATTATGTTACAGACAGCATAGCTTATATGTTGTGTCATATCAAAGGCTTCACCTGCAAGAAAACAGACAATAATTCTTCAAAACTCTATTGGTCCTATTTATTATGAGAAGTAGTTAGCTTGCATAAAAGAGCTGTTTCATAGTTTTGAGCAGTAAATAAATTGAATATGACAGACCACTCAGGAAGAAGAAATCATTTGTTTTTCAATAATCTGCAAAAAGTTGCCAAATAAATTAGTTTTCGAACAAGTGTAAATAAAACTTGTTTAGGAAACCTGATCTAAAATATCAGTGTTTATGCACAGCACTTAATGCAGTAGACCATCTTTAAGTTTGTTTTATTATGTATTTGGAGGAGTTAAGGAAACGTTTAAGCTTAAAAACCTATTTAAAATGATTGCATGGGAGTTTTCCACTGAATACTGAAATTGAAAATGCACTTTTGATCTTTTTCTGATGCAATCAATTAGTGCACAACCATACATTTGCAGAAACTGTCCCTTTATCAAAAAATAAATATTTATCCTCAGTGTTGGCCAAGTGGGTTAGAGCAGTGTGGTTGTGCTCTGAGAAGGTTGCAATTATCGGGTTTAATCCCCACACTGCAAAAATGATCCGAAAAAAGGGTATAAATGTCTTTAATTAAGCGTATTTACCCTTCATTTGAGCAGGTAAATAAGATGATTTGTCAATGGAACTATTTTTTAAACTCTTAAAATAAGATGATTAGATTATATACACTCAAAATAAGACAATGCAATTTGCAATTGTTTTTTTCTTATTTTAAATGTAAATTGTCTTGTTCCATTGGCAATGTGTCTCACTTTACTCCTTTCTTCAAGAAAAATCCACTTATTTTAAGAAAAAAATTACTTATTGAGATTTAAATTTTTTGCAGTGCACAGCCTCAACTCTGGCTCTCTGAGCAAGACTGTTAACCCCAGACTGCTCCCCAGGTGCCACACAATGACAGCCTACTGCTCCCCAAGGGGATGGATTTAATGCTGAGGTAAATTTCTCAAGATCTCTCTTGAGATCAATAAAGTTCAATTATTATTATTATTATTATCAAAATATACATACTTAACAGAAGGTTGTAGCAGAACTAAGTTACTGACATTTGGACTGAACACTTTATTTAGTTTTTGAGGAGGAGAGATCTGCAAGTTTTAATCCTCCCAGTCAGTAGGTTACACACTAATGCTTGCAACTCTAATTCCAGCCTTCAATTGTGGGATGTTTAACTGGTTTTTGGTACTTTTGAATCTGATTAATCTAATCCAGATAAGAAGCCATTTTTTAGTGTTTAGCACAAGGATCTGGAAACTCTGATTTCCATCTAACATAACTTCAACCAGCTATTGTTGGTGGACAATCTTATTGTGGAATAGCCAGGATATTATTATCTGCATAATTTATTGTATTTCTCACAGCTGCTGTTACCTTTAAACTTTTTAAACTCCTGCATGAGGAGCTGACATTCCTCGACGATTTTCTCCTCACAGACTTTTTTTCCCATCCCAAAGTCCTTAAGTTTTGTCAAAGCAAAGCGACGCATTTCTTTCCAAGAGTCACCATTGGCCCATGCAATACCTGTTTGAAACAATAAAAAAAGTCAGTCCAGTGTTTAGTATTACATGTTTGGAATGTTACCCACTATTTACCGTGTTGTTGGTTTACTTCTTTAGTCATTCTGGGTGCTTCCCGTTCTCCAAACTCATCTGCATAACCTACAAATGCTTCCTTGATTGTTTTGTAACCCGTCAACACCACCATTTTCCTTGATCCCATGTAGACAGTGAACACAGGTCCGTACTTCTTAGAAAGCTGAGACAAAGACAGGTGTGCAAAAGAAAAGAAAAAAATATATAGATTTCTTCAAAACGTTTAGTAAAATAATTAGCTTTTTTTGAGGTCATCACTGGGTCATTCACCGGACCTCATGGAATGATGAGTGTTGGCGACAAAACTTCTTGAGGGAAAATCGGCATTGTGCCAGGACTCCTCTGAACATGAAAGGCCTGCTTTGGTGTTTTTCAGACCAAGACATACTGAACACAGCTCAAAATTGTATTGCCACACGGTTACCTCTGTTTTATGGAAGACTTGGTGGTCTTCAGTATTACAGGAGGATTCAACTGTAACATTAAACATCACTAATAAGCTTATTAGCAACCCTTTCAGCTCTCTGAAAGCGTTTCCATGACTGCAGCCCGGCTCTTTATACATTTACTAATCCTATCCCAATAAATCTAAGACATTTCAAGTCACTCATTCAGTATGGACCGCTGGTCCCTTTCAGCTCTTATTAATTCTTCTAAATCTCCCCTCTCCTTCAAGTGCTTAATGCCCTCAGCCTCTAGATAAGCACGTTTGGCAAATCACTGATGGTAACCTTCTTCACCTCATCTCTTTCTTTGTGTACCAAATTTTCCTTATCTATCATTTCTTGCTCTACACCAATGCAGGCATGGCAAGCCTTCATCCTCCCCGTGCCTTTGAAGGCACGTCAGTCTTCCCTTTTTGCCTTTGCTGGTACTCTTCATCGGTGCATCATCAGCATTATCAGTCTAACCACCTCTTCCAACTGAAGTCTGGCATAATGCCGTTGGCTACTCTGGTTAAAATCTGCCTCTGCATACTGTCAGACTGCATAAACAGTCAGACTTCTCCAGGAACTGCCTGTCTTCCCCTTGTCTGGAATATATAGGCCTACTTACCCTTGTCAGTAAAACCTTAAAACCTCATACAGTGTCAGCTTGAATTATGGGGTTCTCCATACTAAAACATAACACATTCCCCTAGAGATTGTGCATTTGTGTCTGCCTTAAAAAAAATTATTTGGCATGTACAGGTGGGGTGGAGGCCCAGGGAATATCCTTGCTTTGAGTGCCAAAGAACCCCACCAACACCACTGTTAATACGTGCTGTCAGAACAGTCACTCAAATAAGATCCATGTTGTTTTTGATCTGACAGCTTCCAGCAAATCAAATTGATCTTCTGCTGCTCCTGACTGAGCTCCCACTCTCTTCTTGGGAGATTGTACACTGGGCAGAGTGCACCAGGATGGAGTACTATTCACCAACACTCTGGTGCACTCTCTATCAGGGGTTTAGAGGAAGTTAGCGGTAGATTGAAGCAGAATGCTCGGCAGATAATCCACCAGAGCTGGACAGAGGTGGTGGGCGTCTGGGTCTAGATCTGGAGGATAACCGAGGAGACTGGAAGCTGGGTGGATTGCAGAGTAGGGGTAAGGTCAACTCTGGAAGTTTTGAGAGGAGGATGAATGAAGAATGATTTAATAAATCTTTTTAAGGCTAAATTAAAAAGGATTTTTTTTAAAGAGCTGCTCACAAACCCCTAAATAGCATTCCTTACTCATCCAATCTCAGCATTATTTTTCTCTGTCTTCTATTAATATAGTGAAGAGCTTTTTTCCACTGCACCCTTTTTTCTTATTCATTACTTCATTACATTCATTACTGTTGTGTCCAATATAATCTTATAGAAAATATAATCTTTAAAATACATGAAATAACATGGATGTTTTTGATTATTATATGTTTATGTATTGGTCTGTTGTGGTGAAGATAGAGCTGAGCAAAAAAGCAAAGCTCTCGATTTACCTGTCAAACTACGTTGCTACTCTCATATATGGTCATGACTAAAAGAACGAGATCCCGGATACAAGTAGTGTGTGTGGGCTCTCCCTTAGAGATAGGGTGAGGATCTTAGTCATCCAGGGAGGTCTCAGAGTAGAGACGATGCTCCTCTACGTCGAGAGGAGCCAGTTGAGGTGGCTCGTGCATCTGCTTAGGATGCCTCCTGGACGTCTACCCTGGTGAGGTGTTCTGGGAATGTCCAACCGGGGGGAGGCCCTGGGGGAGACCTAGGACACGCTGGAGGGACTATGTTTCTCAGCTGGCCTGGGAGCACCTTGGGGTTCCCCCCAAGGGGCTGGGGAGAGGGACTTCTGGGCCTCCCTACTGAAGCTGCTATCCCTGCGATCCGAACCCTGATGATGGATGGATGGATGGATGGATGGATGGATGGATGGATGGATGGATGTTTTAATAACTGTAACCTACCTCAGCACTAAATTTTTTCTGCAATTTCAATTGCAGTTGTTTTAGTAAAAATATATAGAATAATGCATTATTTGTGTAAATATTGTATTATTTCGTGGTTAAAAGGACTCTAAATGACTTGAAACTCAAATTACAGGACTTGGGTCTTGACTTGAGATTTACCTGTCTGTACTACACCAAAAAACTTAAGACTTACTTATGATTTGGAAATCAATTACTTTGTCCTACCCATGGCCATAACTATATATGAGGACCTCTCTTAATGATGAATAGAACCTGGGGGTGAGTAGACCTATAAGCCTTCTTGGATTCTACATGGGGTTTAATAAATGAGACATGTAGCCTGAAGTGAAATTAATAACAAAGCTTTCCAACAAATGTTAGAAATGACAGTTTATTTCATGATTTAACAACAAGAACTGCAACATTCTAAGATGTTTTCCATGCTTTTCTTTTTCATTTCAAACAAATCATCATTTTAAAACTGCTCTTTCTATTTACCAAGGGTTTCTTTTCCGGGTATTGTGACATTACATTTCAAATACTTGCCCTATAAGAGGGCAAATTAGAATATATGTCAAACAAAGTTTGAGTGTTTCAGTGGTCATAATATTCCTATTCACTGCAAATAACTATAAGAAAACAAGATAAACCATAAATAATATAAATAAGATTGATGTGAAATGTATTGGAATATATATTAGAACAATGTGAGATCAGCTCTGCCTCACCTTCATGAATGCTTGGTCACGTCTCCTAACACCCAGCTGCAGCAGATTGCCAACTATGGGAAAGGGCTTTGGTCCCGGCGGTCCCCGTCTGTTTTCATTTTGGTTAAACATGAAGAGAAAGCAGTGATACCCAATCAGCAGAAACACTACAGCTCCTAAAACTGATACTGGGCTGATTGATTGGAGAAACATATCTATTGCTGCCATGACTGCAACACACATTGTGGCTGCTGTCATGCAGTGGGAGGATTCTTAAACATACATAACATTTTTTGTTGTTAAAAGCAAAGTCCAAAGTTTAAGAGGAGGTGGCGCCTGCGTCGTGTAATAGTGCAATTTCTGCCTGCTGAAGTTATGAGTCTCTGCTGAGCTTATGGTTTGTCTATAAAAGAGAAACACTTACTCTGTAGATCTAACACAATTGCTTCATGGTACAGACTTTGTGCAAAATACATTAATAAACCTGACTGGGTAATTTTCACCTAAAATATTTTTATTTTTTCTTTTATCCCTATGCATAAAGTAGGCAACTGCAAAAACGATCTAGAAATAAGTAAAAATGTCTTAAATTAAGTGTATTCACCGTTAATTTGAGTAGGTAAATGAGATAGTATGCCAATGGAATGAGTAATTTTACTCTTAAAATAAGATAATTAGATAATATGCACTTGAAATAAGTCAATGCAATTGTGTTTTCTTATTTATTGTCTTGTTCCATTGGCAAAATGTCTCTTTTACCTCCTCAATTCAAGAACAAATGCACTTATTTTAAGAAAAAATATCTAGATTTAGATTTTTGGCAGTGAGTAGCACTGAGCTTGTCAATGTTGTTTCGTAGTTAAAATGTTTCTATAATTTCCATTGACATGAAATTCACACCACACATCAACACAAATTTATTGATTAAATTAACGATTTGGGTAAAAAATTGTTGTGACACAGGAAACAGTGTTAAACATGTGGATACGTATGTAAAATTAAAATAAAAAGTCTTTCTTGATCATGGCCTTATTTACAGTTCTGTGCACAATTTGTCTGAGTTTATTTCTCCTCCTGAGTTTGACCGATGTCTTTTTGTTATATTGTCATGTGATGCACTGGAAAAAATCTCAATCAAGATAAGTCATTTTTTCTTAAAATAAGTGCATTTGTTCTTGGATTGAGGTGGTAAAAGATACATTTTGCCAATGAAACAAGAGAATTTACACTTAAAATAAGAAAATACAATTGCATTGTCTCATTTCAAGTGCATTTTTATCTAATTTTCTTATTTTAAGTGTCAAAATACTCATTCCATTGGCAAATCATCTCATTTACCTACTCGAATTAAGAATAAATACACTTAATTTAAGGAAATTTTACGTATTTCTAGATTGTTTTTCCAGTATGCCATTTAAATGCGTGATTAAAGTTTAAAAAGTGTCAATCACTGTTGCTTTCTTGCACATTTCCATGGGCGGTTCTAGACTAGGGCCAACAGGAGCCATTGCCCTTGTAAATTTCGCCTTGACCCCGGTAATGAAGATATAACATCAGATCAGTATCTTATCTTGATGTGCACTTGCAAATAAACCATAATGGATTAGTACTTTGGAACAATTACATTTTTTACATCTTACAGTAAAAATGTATCAGGCCATCCTTGTACAGTATGTCAACTGTGCAAATTAAGATACCTCTCCTAGCTCAGCTGTCACATTGTATGTCCCCTTTTTCATGTGTGCAAGAATTTGCTTGCAGTCCATGATTTAATTTGAAGATCCACTCTTTTGTCATGCCAGACTGCAGGCACCTAACATGTTCTTTCTTTCACAGATACAATGTTTTAGTTTTTATAGTAGGAGAAATACGCCAGGTCTGGATACATATGAGGTCCATTTTTTATTTTCCATTTTATTCACAGTTTTCATTTAACTGTTAATTAAAATGAAGGTATTGCACTTTCAGCTTCTGTCATGTTAAGATAGAATCAAATCTGCTAGATCAGTGGAAACTTAGCATATTTTTAGTCATGTATTTTCAGCAGACAGTGCTTCTACGCTCTAGTAGAGATGGGCAGATTGATTTGAAGCAATAATAATGGGTTTTCACAAGACAGGTTTATGCAAAACTAAATTTTCTAATCATGAAATCAGGGAAATTGAGTTTTCAATGTCAAAAAGAGAGTTTTTTTGTTAAAGTAGTAACATTCTTCCCAGAGCTAACCTGGTCAGGAGCAAGTTTGGCTAAATAAAACCAGAGTGTCCTCTATCTCTGCTCACCTTAGAGCCAATCTTGCTGTTTTATTTATTGATTTAGTCAGGAGTTTTGTGCACACAGTAAAAAAAAAAAAATAATTCACTAGGTCTGTTAGAGATATTCGATTTTAAAAACAAATATTGCACTTCAGTTTGACGAGGATCTCATTAAAGAAGTATCTGCATTATTTCACAAAGATTTTGATATTTATTTGGAGAGGATTCTGCAACTCAGTTAACAGGATATGATATTTGTTTGTCGTTGGTTTGTAAAATATGAACAACATGTGGATAATTATTTTTTTCTATAATACATGAAGAACTACTGAAATTATTTTCAGATAACACATGAATAAATAATTTCCGCAAGGAAAAACTGAAATTACTTTAGGGTTATGATTAGGATTCCTTTGGTGATAGCAACCTACTGAGCCATGGGTGGTTCTAGACATGGGCCAACAGGGGCCAGTGCCCCTGTAGATCATGTCCTGGCCCCTGTTGTGGCCCCTGTACTGAAGACATAATACTCAAAGAAATTCTAATGATGATATGCATTGGAACAGACATGGTTACTTTGGATCTGTTTAATTTTTTTTTATTCTGTTTTACTAATTATTTAAACACAATAAGGTGATCCCAGTTTTCCTCTATTAAATGTTTTTTTTATGAATAGAAAAGAATAGTCTAATTTTAACAGGAAATTTTATCTGTTTTTCTTGAGTTCTAATTCAGATCGTATAGAAAACTTAGATTTTAACTTAAATGAAGTCAAAAAAATAGGTAAAATTCCTAAATTATGAATGTATATTGACCTAATAAGACATAGAATTTTAATTAAACCTAATTTGTGCAGCTATTTATGCAGCTATCTTAATATATTTGAATCACTTGCCCTGTTTTTTATTTCATGCTTTTCTGTTGCCCCTATGAAAACACGCTGGCCCCCTCATGGCCCCCTGGTATATTGGGTCTAGAACCGCCGCTGTACTGAGCGAATTGGTATAGGTAGGAGGCACAATCTGAAGCCAGTTTATGGAACCAATTACAGCTAATAACAGCCATTTATTGGGATGATAACATCTGACACAGCTGCAAACAGCCACTTATTTACTAGATTATTTACTATTTGTTAGAAAGTTTTTATACTTTATATTCAATGTGCAAAACATACCCCGAGTGACTTGCTGCTGAATATGCAGCAAAAGGTCAAAGGGGCTGAATAATTTTGCAAACACATATTTTCCAATACAGTTCATTCCCCTCCAAGTGTCTGACTTGTTGTTGATTCATCTCAAAGAATTAAAAATTTTTATCTTCATGCTTGAAGCCTAAGGGGTTCGTGGAGGCTAAATACTTTTGAAAGGTACTGTTCATATTCAGTCAAGCTAAAAAAATATTCAAAATGGCCACTTATAATGTGTTAACATTTCCAGGTATATAAAATTTAATTCTTACTGGCACATTTTGTTTGTTTACTTTCTGAAATTGAGTTTCTGATGGCATAAATGTAATTTGGAAAACCTGTTACTACATTTGTGACTAGGAATGTAATTTTGACCAAGAATAACCCTATTTCAGTGATCTACAAATGAAACAACAGAGTAGAGAGTACTTTTAACCCTCTATGGCATTCTGTTGCCCTCAGGCAACAAACCACTATTTTGGCCCACACACCGCCCCTTACCATTTTTTTAAGTAAAACATCACATTAAAAGTCTGATGATATGTCTGTGACCAATGAAATTTGGGCTAGGCGTGGCTTTGACCTTTGTCTTGGAGTGAAACNGCAGTGAGTAGCACTGAGCTTGTCAATGTTGTTTCGTAGTTAAAATGTTTCTATAATTTCCATTGACATGAAATTCACACCACACATCAACACAAATTTATTGATTAAATTAACGATTTGGGTAAAAAATTGTTGTGACACAGGAAACAGTGTTAAACATGTGGATACGTATGTAAAATTAAAATAAAAAGTCTTTCTTGATCATGGCCTTATTTACAGTTCTGTGCACAATTTGTCTGAGTTTATTTCTCCTCCTGAGTTTGACCGATGTCTTTTTGTTATATTGTCATGTGATGCACTGGAAAAAATCTCAATCAAGATAAGTCATTTTTTCTTAAAATAAGTGCATTTGTTCTTGGATTGAGGTGGTAAAAGATACATTTTGCCAATGAAACAAGAGAATTTACACTTAAAATAAGAAAATACAATTGCATTGTCTCATTTCAAGTGCATTTTTATCTAATTTTCTTATTTTAAGTGTCAAAATACTCATTCCATTGGCAAATCATCTCATTTACCTACTCGAATTAAGAATAAATACACTTAATTTAAGGAAATTTTACATATTTCTAGATTGTTTTTCCAGTATGCCATTTAAATGCGTGATAAAAGTTTAAAAAGTGTCAATCACTGTTGCTTTCTTGCACATTTCCATGGGCGGTTCTAGACTAGGGCCAACAGGAGCCATTGCCCTTGTAAATTTCGCCTTGACCCCGGTAATGAAGATATAACATCAGATCAGTATCTTATCTTGATGTGCACTTGCAAATAAACCATAATGGATTAGTACTTTGGAACAATTACATTTTTTACATCTTACAGTAAAAATGTATCAGGCCATCCTTGTACAGTATGTCAACTGTGCAAATTAAGATACCTCTCCTAGCTCAGCTGTCACATTGTATGTCCCCTTTTTCATGTGTGCAAGAATTTGCTTGCAGTCCATGATTTAATTTGAAGATCCACTCTTTTGTCATGCCAGACTGCAGGCACCTAACATGTTCTTTCTTTCACAGATACAATGTTTTAGTTTTTATAGTAGGAGAAATACGCCAGGTCTGGATACATATGAGGTCCATTTTTTATTTTCCATTTTATTCACAGTTTTCATTTAACTGTTAATTAAAATGAAGGTATTGCACTTTCAGCTTCTGTCATGTTAAGATAGAATCAAATCTGCTAGATCAGTGGAAACTTAGCATATTTTTAGTCATGTATTTTCAGCAGACAGTGCTTCTACGCTCTAGTAGAGATGGGCAGATTGATTTGAAGCAATAATAATGGGTTTTCACAAGACAGGTTTATGCAAAACTAAATTTTCTAATCATGAAATCAGGGAAATTGAGTTTTCAATGTCAAAAAGAGAGTTTTTTTGTTAAAGTAGTAACATTCTTCCCAGAGCTAACCTGGTCAGGAGCAAGTTTGGCTAAATAAAACCAGAGTGTCCTCTATCTCTGCTCACCTTAGAGCCAATCTTGCTGTTTTATTTATTGATTTAGTCAGGAGTTTTGTGCACACAGTAAAAAAAAAAAAATAATTCACTAGGTCTGTTAGAGATATTCGATTTTAAAAACAAATATTGCACTTCAGTTTGACGAGGATCTTATTAAAGAATTATCTGCATTATTTCACAAAGATTTTGATATTTATTTGGAGAGGATTCTGCAACTCAGTTAACAGGATATGATATTTGTTTGTCTTTGGTTTGTTTAATATGAACAACATGTGGATAATTATTTTTTTCTATAATACATGAAGAACTACTGAAATTATTTTCAGATAACACATTAATAAATAATCTCCGCAAGGAAAAACTGGAATTACTTTATGGTTATGATTAGGATTCCTTTGGTGATATCAACCTACTGAGCCATGGGTGGTTCTAGACATGATCTACAGGGGCCAGTGCCCCTGTAGATCATGTCCTGGCCCCTGTTGTGGCCCCTGTACTGAAGACATAATACTCAAATAAATTCTAAAGATGATATGCATTGGAACAGACATGGTTACTTTGGATTTGTTTAATTTTTTTTTATTCTGTTTTACTAATTATTTAAACACAATAAGGTGATAGCTTCAATGGTATTGATATAGGATCCCAGTTTTCCTCTATTAAATGTTTTTTTTTTTTTATGAATAGAAAAGAATAGTCTAATTTTAACAGCAAATTTTATCAGTTTTTCTTGAGTTCTAATTCAGATCGTATAGAAAACTTAGATTTTAACTTAAATGAAGTCAAAAAATAGGTAAAATTCCTAAATTATGAATGTATATTGAACTTATAAGACATAGAATTTTAATTAAACCTGATTGAATAGAAATTTCACTTTATGCAGCTATCTTAATATATTTCAATCACTTGCCCTGTTTTTTATTTCATGCTTTTCTGTTGCCCCTATGAATACACGCTGGCCCCCTCATGGCCCCCTGGTATATTGGGTCTAGAACCGCCGCTGTACTCAGTGAATTGGTATAAGTAGGAGGCTAAATCTGAAGCCAATTTATGGAACCAATAACAGCTAATAACAGCCATTTATTGGGATGATAACATGTGAAGCAGCTGCAAACAGCCACTTATTTACTGTGAAATGGAAGATAGAATCAAAATGAGGACGAACCTCATGAGATGATGAACAGGTTCCACCTGTTACAAAGTTTTTGTACTTTATATTCAATGTGCAAAACATACCCCGAGTGACTTGCTGCTGAATTTACAGCAAAGGGTGGTGCTACAAAGTATTAAGTCAAAGGTGCTGAGTCATTTTGCAAACACAAATTTTTTTCAATACAGTTCATTCCACTCCAAGTGTCTGACTTGTTGTTGATTCTTCACAAAGAATTATAATTTTATATCTTTATGCTTGAAGCCTGAGGGTTTCATGGGGGCTAAATACTTTCACAAGGTACTGTTCATGTTCAGTCAAGCTAAAAAAAAAAAATATTCAAAATACTTATAATGTGTTAACAACTCCAGGTATATAAAATTTATTTCTTACTAGCACATTTTGTTTGTTTACTTTCTGAAATTGAGTTTCTGCTGGCATAAATGTAATTTGGAAAATCTTTGACTACATTTGTGACTAGGAATGTAATTTTGACAAAGAATAACCCTATTTTAGTGATCTACAAATGAAACAACAGAGTAGAGAGTACTTTAATAAATGTCAAAATAGCGTGCCACTTCATATAGACATATGGATTAACTTGATTAACTCCTCCTACGCTATCTTCCACTCCTTTGCAGCTGTAGGGCTTTTTTTCTCTTTTAAATGGATTCTACATTGTTGTTTTCTTTTATTATTCTGCATCAAAATCTCTACTTCCAGTGGTGTAAAATAGGCATTTCCTGTTGTCATGGTAACTCTTGGTATTGGTGCTCAACATAATGGCTTTTAATATTTGTTATAAACGTGCTGTTGATTAAACTAACTCACAGCAGCCGCAGCGAAGCTGAAAATTCAGAGTTTCCAACCTTAGGCTAGATCAATTTAGAGAAGAGGATTTGAGTCTGAGTTTTTTAAAAACTGCTTGATCAGGAAAAATGATCAGGAAAAGAGGGAAATATATTATTATTCCAAGAGTTCAGAAGGTAAACTATAATTTATGTTGTTATATCCTTTAAATTCACAAATACCTTGACCTGGGTTAAATTTTTTTATGATGAAATAAAAAAAACTATTTTTGTTCTTTACAATTGCATAATTCCCCAGTTTTGAGCTTTTCAATATACAATAAATTTTTTCTTCGATATTCATCTCTCCATTATTTGGTCTAAATTTGCATGATCAACTGTCAAGCATTTTTGTAATCCTAGAAACTTAAAAAAAAAATTTTTGAAAACAAGCTTAAGTTTTCATTCTTTCATCCATATACGCATACATTCAACCTGTCAGTTTGACAACAATTGTATGGTATTTTGTTTCGTTTTTTTCTAAATGTATGTTAATGCTGCAGAATTAGTAAAGGTTAGAGGTGGGGTGATTTAGGCCGGTATTTGCACAACTATTAAACATTTTTGGGGTTAAAACTAACTTCTGTCTGTTATCAAAACCCTAAGAGTTCAGATTTTCCTCCTTTTTTATAATTGGACCTTGAACAGGTTTAGGTTTTAACGCTACATTATATGGTTCAACCTGTCCTGAGTTGGTCTGACAATAATTAATTCAGTTCAAAGTTTAACAGAGCAGCAAAGTTAAAGATTTACAGTTAACTTTAAATATAAGGTTCATTCAATTCAGGACATTATTTATAATTCTTGTTAGATCAATTGTTATTCTATATAT